AGTGATGGAAGGGGGAAGATAGAAGTAAGAAAGCTTATGACGCTGTAGGGGTCGAAGCCGTGCTGCTGGGTGACGTTGATGGGCGCGAGCTGATAGGAGGGAAGGAGGAATAGAGATTAGGGAGCGCAAGGTAGTGATGGAAGGGGGAAGATAGAAGTAAGAAAGCTTATGACGCTGTAGGGGTCGAAGCCGTGCTGCTGGGTGACGTTGATGGGCGCGAGCTGATAGGAGGGAAGGAGGAATAGAGATTAGGGAGCGCAAGGTAGTGATGGAAGGGGGAAGATAGAAGTAAGAAAGCTTATGACGCTGTAGGGGTCGAAGCCGTGCTGCTGGGTGACGTTGATGGGCGCGAGCTGATAGGAGGGAAGGAGGAATAGAGATTAGGGAGCGCAAGGTAGTGATGGAAGGGGGAAGATAGAAGTAAGAAAGCTTATGACGCTGTAGGGGTCGAAGCCGTGCTGCTGGGTGACGTTGATGGACGCGAGCTGATAGGAGGGAAGGAGGAATAGAGATTAGGGAGCGCAAGGTAGTGATGGAAGGGGGAAGATAGAAGTAAGAAAGCTTATGACGCTGTAGGGGTCGAAGCCGTGCTGCTGGGTGACGTTGATGGACGCGAGCTGATAGGAGGGAAGGAGGAATAGAGATTAGGGAGCGCAAGGTAGTGATGGAAGGGGGAAGATAGAAGTAAGAAAGCTTATGACGCTGTAGGGGTCGAAGCCGTGCTGCTGGGTGACGTTGATGGACGCGAGCTGATAGGAAGGAAGGAGGAATAGAGATTAGGGAGCGCAAGGTAGTGATGGAAGGGGGAAGATAGAAGTAAGAAAGCTTATGACGCTGTAGGGGTCGAAGCCGTGCTGCTGGGTGACATTGATGGACGCGAGCTGATAGGAGGGAAGGAGGAATAGAGATTAGGGAGCGCAAGGTAGTGATGGAAGGGGGAAGATAGAAGTAAGAAAGCTTATGACGCTGTAGGGGTCGAAGCCGTGCTGCTGGGTGACGTTGATGGGCGCGAGCTGATAGGAGGGAAGGAGGAATAGAGATTAGGGAGCGCAAGGTAGTGATGGAAGGGGGAAGATAGAAGTAAGAAAGCTTATGACGCTGTAGGGGTCGAAGCCGTGCTGCTGGGTGACGTTGATGGGCGCGAGCTGATAGGAGGGAAGGAGGAATAGAGATTAGGGAGCGCAAGGTAGTGATGGAAGGGGGAAGATAGAAGTAAGAAAGCTTATGACGCTGTAGGGGTCGAAGCCGTGCTGCTGGGTGACGTTGATGGGCGCGAGCTGATAGGAGGGAAGGAGGAATAGAGATTAGGGAGCGCAAGGTAGTGATGGAAGGGGGAAGATAGAAGTAAGAAAGCTTATGACGCTGTAGGGGTCGAAGCCGTGCTGCTGGGTGACGTTGATGGACGCGAGCTGATAGGAGGGAAGGAGGAATAGAGATTAGGGAGCGCAAGGTAGTGATGGAAGGGGGAAGATAGAAGTAAGAAAGCTTATGACGCTGTAGGGGTCGAAGCCGTGCTGCTGGGTGACATTGATGGACGCGAGCTGATAGGAGGGAAGGAGGAATAGAGATTAGGGAGCGCAAGGTAGTGATGGAAGGGGGAAGATAGAAGTAAGAAAGCTTATGACGCTGTAGGGGTCGAAGCCGTGCTGCTGGGTGACGTTGATGGACGCGAGCTGATAGGAGGGAAGGAAGAATAGAGATTAGGGAGCGCAAGGTAGTGATGGAAGGGGGAAGATAGAAGTAAGAAAGCTTATGACGCTGTAGGGGTCGAAGCCGTGCTGCTGGGTGACGTTGATGGACGCGAGCTGATAGGAGGGAAGGAGGAATAGAGATTAGGGAGCGCAAGGTAGTGATGGAAGGGGGAAGATAGAAGTAAGAAAGCTTATGACGCTGTAGGGGTCGAAGCCGTGCTGCTGGGTGACGTTGATGGACGCGAGCTGATAGGAGGGAAGGAGGAATAGAGATTAGGGAGCGCAAGGTAGTGATGGAAGGGGGAAGATAGAAGTAAGAAAGCTTATGACGCTGTAGGGGTCGAAGCCGTGCTGCTGGGTGACGTTGATGGACGCGAGCTGATAGGAGGGAAGGAGGAATAGAGATTAGGGAGCGCAAGGTAGTGATGGAAGGGGGAAGATAGAAGTAAGAAAGCTTATGACGCTGTAGGGGTCGAAGCCGTGCTGCTGGGTGACGTTGATGGGCGCGAGCTGATAGGAGGGAAGGAGGAATAGAGATTAGGGAGCGCAAGGTAGTGATGGAAGGGGGAAGATAGAAGTAAGAAAGCTTATGACGCTGTAGGGGTCGAAGCCGTGCTGCTGGGTGACGTTGATGGACGCGAGCTGATAGGAGGGAAGGAGGAATAGAGATTAGGGAGCGCAAGGTAGTGATGGAAGGGGGAAGATAGAAGTAAGAAAGCTTATGACGCTGTAGGGGTCGAAGCCGTGCTGCTGGGTGACGTTGATGGGCGCGAGCTGATAGGAGGGAAGGAGGAATAGAGATTAGGGAGCGCAAGGTAGTGATGGAAGGGGGAAGATAGAAGTAAGAAAGCTTATGACGCTGTAGGGGTCGAAGCCGTGCTGCTGGGTGACGTTGATGGGCGCGAGCTGATAGGAGGGAAGGAGGAATAGAGATTAGGGAGCGCAAGGTAGTGATGGAAGGGGGAAGATAGAAGTAAGAAAGCTTATGACGCTGTAGGGGTCGAAGCCGTGCTGCTGGGTGACGTTGATGGACGCGAGCTGATAGGAGGGAAGGAGGAATAGAGATTAGGGAGCGCAAGGTAGTGATGGAAGGGGGAAGATAGAAGTAAGAAAGCTTATGACGCTGTAGGGGTCGAAGCCGTGCTGCTGGGTGACGTTGATGGACGCGAGCTGATAGGAAGGAAGGAGGAATAGAGATTAGGGAGCGCAAGGTAGTGATGGAAGGGGGAAGATAGAAGTAAGAAAGCTTATGACGCTGTAGGGGTCGAAGCCGTGCTGCTGGGTGACATTGATGGACGCGAGCTGATAGGAGGGAAGGAGGAATAGAGATTAGGGAGCGCAAGGTAGTGATGGAAGGGGGAAGATAGAAGTAAGAAAGCTTATGACGCTGTAGGGGTCGAAGCCGTGCTGCTGGGTGACGTTGATGGACGCGAGCTGATAGGAGGGAAGGAGGAATAGAGATTAGGGAGCGCAAGGTAGTGATGGAAGGGGGAAGATAGAAGTAAGAAAGCTTATGACGCTGTAGGGGTCGAAGCCGTGCTGCTGGGTGACGTTGATGGGCGCGAGCTGATAGGAGGGAAGGAGGAATAGAGATTAGGGAGCGCAAGGTAGTGATGGAAGGGGGAAGATAGAAGTAAGAAAGCTTATGACGCTGTAGGGGTCGAAGCCGTGCTGCTGGGTGACGTTGATGGACGCGAGCTGATAGGAGGGAAGGAGGAATAGAGATTAGGGAGCGCAAGGTAGTGATGGAAGGGGGAAGATAGAAGTAAGAAAGCTTATGACGCTGTAGGGGTCGAAGCCGTGCTGCTGGGTGACGTTGATGGACGCGAGCTGATAGGAGGGAAGGAGGAATAGAGATTAGGGAGCGCAAGGTAGTGATGGAAGGGGGAAGATAGAAGTAAGAAAGCTTATGACGCTGTAGGGGTCGAAGCCGTGCTGCTGGGTGACGTTGATGGGCGCGAGCTGATAGGAGGGAAGGAGGAATAGAGATTAGGGAGCGCAAGGTAGTGATGGAAGGGGGAAGATAGAAGTAAGAAAGCTTATGACGCTGTAGGGGTCGAAGCCGTGCTGCTGGGTGACGTTGATGGGCGCGAGCTGATAGGAGGGAAGGAGGAATAGAGATTAGGGAGCGCAAGGTAGTGATGGAAGGGGGAAGATAGAAGTAAGAAAGCTTATGACGCTGTAGGGGTCGAAGCCGTGCTGCTGGGTGACGTTGATGGACGCGAGCTGATAGGAGGGAAGGAGGAATAGAGATTAGGGAGCGCAAGGTAGTGATGGAAGGGGGAAGATAGAAGTAAGAAAGCTTATGACGCTGTAGGGGTCGAAGCCGTGCTGCTGGGTGACGTTGATGGACGCGAGCTGATAGGAGGGAAGGAGGAATAGAGATTAGGGAGCGCAAGGTAGTGATGGAAGGGGGAAGATAGAAGTAAGAAAGCTTATGACGCTGTAGGGGTCGAAGCCGTGCTGCTGGGTGACGTTGATGGGCGCGAGCTGATAGGAGGGAAGGAGGAATAGAGATTAGGGAGCGCAAGGTAGTGATGGAAGGGGGAAGATAGAAGTAAGAAAGCTTATGACGCTGTAGGGGTCGAAGCCGTGCTGCTGGGTGACGTTGATGGGCGCGAGCTGATAGGAGGGAAGGAGGAATAGAGATTAGGGAGCGCAAGGTAGTGATGGAAGGGGGAAGATAGAAGTAAGAAAGCTTATGACGCTGTAGGGGTCGAAGCCGTGCTGCTGGGTGACATTGATGGACGCGAGCTGATAGGAGGGAAGGAGGAATAGAGATTAGGGAGCGCAAGGTAGTGATGGAAGGGGGAAGATAGAAGTAAGAAAGCTTATGACGCTGTAGGGGTCGAAGCCGTGCTGCTGGGTGACGTTGATGGACGCGAGCTGATAGGAGGGAAGGAGGAATAGAGATTAGGGAGCGCAAGGTAGTGATGGAAGGGGGAAGATAGAAGTAAGAAAGCTTATGACGCTGTAGGGGTCGAAGCCGTGCTGCTGGGTGACGTTGATGGACGCGAGCTGATAGGAGGGAAGGAGGAATAGAGATTAGGGAGCGCAAGGTAGTGATGGAAGGGGGAAGATAGAAGTAAGAAAGCTTATGACGCTGTAGGGGTCGAAGCCGTGCTGCTGGGTGACGTTGATGGGCGCGAGCTGATAGGAGGGAAGGAGGAATAGAGATTAGGGAGCGCAAGGTAGTGATGGAAGGGGGAAGATAGAAGTAAGAAAGCTTATGACGCTGTAGGGGTCGAAGCCGTGCTGCTGGGTGACGTTGATGGACGCGAGCTGATAGGAGGGAAGGAGGAATAGAGATTAGGGAGCGCAAGGTAGTGATGGAAGGGGGAAGATAGAAGTAAGAAAGCTTATGACGCTGTAGGGGTCGAAGCCGTGCTGCTGGGTGACGTTGATGGGCGCGAGCTGAGGGGGGGGGAAATGAGGGAGTAGAGGGGAGGAAACGCGGGCTGGGTGGGTCGGCGAGAGAGGGCACACGCATTAGAAGGTGTGTGATGCTGTAAGGTTCGATTCGAAGCCGTACTGCTGGGTGACGTCGATGGACGCGAGCTGAGAAGCGAGGGAGGGAGGGAGTGGGGAGACGGGGGGGTAGGGCAGGTCGGTGGGAGAGGGCACCAGCATCAGAAGGTCACTCATTCGCTAACCTTATCCATCCTCTGCAACCGCGATCGGTGCCATGTCAACATCAACATCAGCATCAGCTTACAATACTGCCTTTCACATTTCCTCACCCCCCTTGCCTTATCCACACCAGCATCAACATCAGCTTGCATGCATTGCCTTACCATTGCCCTACCATTGCCTCTATCCATACTATGCCATGTCCACGTCAGCATGCTGCCCCCGCTTGTCTCACCATGCGAACGACACGGTTGTTGGCGCTGTTGTTGAAAGGTGGGTCCCGCTGAAGGCCCTCGCCAATGAGAGTCATGCGCTGCACAGGCGAGCAGCAGGGAAGGAGGGCGATGGGAGGGAGGGAGATATGCTGAGGGAATTTTGAGTAAACTGAAACATTATTTGCAGGCGGGACCCGCTGAAGGCCCTCGCTAATGAGAGTCACGCGCTGCAGGGGCGAGCAGCAGGGAGGGCGATTGTGCAACATCTCATTAGTTAAATTGGAGCATGATGCTGGCTTCAAAGGAATGGTTGAGGCAGGCTGCAAATGAACAACGGAAGGGGAAGAAAGGAAGCTTGTTCAACCGTGACTGGGGAAAGCGTGATGTGACCTGGGTTGGCACTGCTCACCTGGTTGGCACTGCTCACCTGGTTGGCACTGCTCACCTGGTTGGCACTGCTCACCTGGTTGGCACTGCTCACCCGGTTGGCACTGCTCACCCGGTTGGCACTGCTCACCTGCAGCGCACTGCTCACCTCTAGGGGTACTAAATAAAACAAGGGGAGCACAAAGGCCACTACTCTCTCACCTGGAGGGCACTTCTCACCTGGAGGGCACTTCTCACCTGGAGGGCACTTCTCACCTGGAGGGCACTTCTCACCTGGAGGGCACTTCTCACCTGGAGGGGCGTTGCTCACCTGGAGGGCACTTCTCACCTGGAGGGGCGTTGCTCACCTGGAGGGCCTCGGAGAGGTTGGAGCTGGGGAGGGGCGGATTGGGGAGGGGCGCAACAGCAGGCCCGCCTAGCACCTCTGAGAGTGACTGTAGCGAGACTTGACTGTAGAGGTCGAGCACTGTAGCAATGTCGTTGGTGACGTTTTCTGACACGACCACTCGCATCAGCAGGAGAGCATCATTGGTGGGCGACTGTGAGAAGGAGGGGAGGGGAAAGGAGAACAACAAAGCAGAGGAGCATGGGAGAGGAGGACAGGAGATGAGAACATGACAAGGAAAGGTTTTGAATGTTACAACCAATGTCTCTGGAGCAAGGATTAACAATGCACAGTCAGAGCACCCACAACTCCACATGAAATGAGGGTGTTTTTGAGACGTCTTAAAAACAATGCACAGTCAGAGCACCCATAACTCCACATATTGTTGTAGCCAATAGCCATAAACACTTCCGTTAATCATTCAACTAAAGCACCGCCCTAACCAGCATTACACTCGCCAACACAGCACTCACCCGTTTGACCGTGGGTGCGAGGTCACCCGGCAGCACCCCTGCCCAATCAGGCCCGACTAGAGTGAACGTGCTGGGAGCATGGGAGCACGTGCTCACAAAACCACACCATTATTGACAATAGTCTTCTCACCTGTATGACCGTAGGTGAGAGGTCAGCAGGCAGCTCCCCTGCCCAGTCCGGCCCGACTAGAGTGAACGTGTTGGGGCCTGGCCCGTTGGCTCGGCTGCCGTTCACACTGAACGCCGGGCCATAGGTCTGGAAGAACCCGATGCTGCCAATACGAGGAAGAAAGATTGGCGGGGATTGAGATGGAGGAAAATCGGATCGATGGCTGATGTTTGCACTAAATGTAGGGCCCTGCGCATGCCTGGATGGAAGAGCCTTATGCTGCGAACAGTGAAGGTGGAAGACTGTACGAAACAGAGGGGTGTAAGGCAGAAGGCTTGGATAACCAGTCAGTGGTCTGGGACTTTTGGGACGTCTCAAAAGTCGTCAGGGTAGAGGGTCGCCCGATGACACGCACCTGTAGCGTTCAACACCACCTAAATGACTGCGCCCCTCACAATAACGCCCCTCGCCTGTAGTAGCGTCCCTCCCCTCACCTGTAGTAGCGGCCTTGGCCCATGTTGGGGGTTCGGAACACCATGGGCTGGTCTCGCAGGTAGAGGAAGGCCCCTCCATACACCGTGTCCACATTGGGGAGAGCCACCGCTGGGTGGATTGAGCGGGGAGGGAGGGGGAGGGGGAGGGGGGGAGGGTGGAAGGAAACAGGAGGGATGCGATGCGCTTCATCCTCTCGCAGGTAGAGGAAGGCCCCTCCATACACCGTGTCCACATTGGGGAGAGCCACCGCTGGGTGGATTGAGCGGGGAGGGAGGGGGAGGGGAGTGGGGGGTTTGTATTGCTGAGGTTGGAAAGAGGAGGGGTGCACTTCACCTTTTGCCATACACGGTGTCCACGTTGGGGAGAATTCATAAGAGCTCCCGGAAGGACCCATCAAAAGAAGGACGCACGAGAAGGATGCATGACTCAGGTAGTGCCAACAACAGCGGTGGTGTTGGCGAAGGAGAAAAGAACCACCAGCAGTATAAGATGATAACAGCAGAGGTCGCACCAAGAACCAAGCATGACCCACGGGTGGTGCCGACGACGGCAGTGGTGTTGGCATAAAAAAATCCCACCGAGTGCATCAGAAGGAGAGTTCAACTCACTGGTGGTGCCGACGACAGCGGTGGTGTTGGCGAAGGAGAAGGCGTTGAGGGCAGCACGGGTGGCCTGCTGGCGGAAGAAGGTGACGAGAGGAGACCCCCACACAAACGCCTCCTGCCCCACCGTGAAGTACCGCACTGCATCCCCCTCTATGCCATTGCCAGCAGCCGCAGTGAAGTTACCAGCTCCAGTGGGGTCACCAGGAGCAGTGTTATTTCTTGGAGGCGTGGTGCTGGTGGGAGCCATGCCAGCAGCCCCTTCGGGTCCAGTGGGGTTACCAGCAGCAGTTCCATTGGCACTCCCTGTAGGGACGATGCTGGCCGGGGCTGTCGTGTTACTAGCGCCACTGATGCCACCACCACTGCTGTTCCCACTGCTGTTACTGGTAGGAGCAGAGGTAGCACCATCGGCACTGCCTGGAGGGATGATGCTGGGGGGGGCTGTGGCGTTAGCAGTGCCATTGATGCTGCCACCACTGCTGTTCCCACTGCTGTTACTGGTAGGACCAGAAGTACCGGCGGCACTGGCACCAGTGCCGTCATTGGCAGCACCACCGCTGCTCATCTCCCCTGGGGAAGATCCTGGCACACCAGGCCCCTGCTGAAGCCCTCGTCCCCCCCTCCCTACTCTAACCCCATCCATTAATCCTCCACCCGTCTGCTGCAGTCCGCCCCGAACTGGTTGCGCAGAAGCAGAGAAGGTGCAGAGGGGGAGACTCAGCAGCAGCAGCAGAAGCGACAGCAGAGCAACAGGCAGCACTGTGACTGTACGCATGCGTGACTTAAGCCAACTCGGCCATGATCTTTGCCCCGAGACATTGCTCCCTGGTCGCAAGGGGACCGCGGGTATCAGGTCTGGGACTCGGTTCATGATGGCAGATGGAGCCATGGAGTTGCCTGCCTGCTGGCGGGGCACCAGAGAGCCGGGATGTTGATGATGAGGAGTTGTTTGGTCTGCTGTCACTGGATTGGCTTTTGAGAATTTTCAGAAGTCACCAGAGTCCAGATAATTGATGATAAGGAGTAGTCCGGCCCGTTGCCAACAGGTGCTGTTGCTTGTGGGAAAAAAACTCGTCACTCCCTCTCAGAGAAACGGTGATTCGGGTCAAGGGTATGGCACAACAAATTCCGTGGCAAGCAGTTGTTACTGTGCGCTCGACTAAGTTTGCAACGTACTTGGTCCGCCCTGATGGGAAGGGTGGAAAAGACTGATATTAAAGTTGCTGAAATGCCAATACCCTGGGATAGTTCTGGTTTCACTGGCGGGAAGAGAAAGCTTCTGAAAGCTTCTGGTAAGTACCTAATTGATCGAACCTTCAATAGCTCCCCAGGCTTTCAGTAACAGTGTTCCTAATAAACTGCAGATCACAATCACATCACATCACCGACCAGGCTGGATTGCCAGACGTCGGAAAAACAGAACCAGGGAGTTAAACCGTTCCGTATTTGTCGCGTGCTGTGCTGCCAGAAAGGCGCTCGACCCGTTCCAGTCGCCGCCGCGGTACCGATGAACACTCGAGCGCAACTGAAGTTGCAATCGACGTTGCAACCGAGCTTCCTTCTCCAGAAGTTGCTCTCGAGCTTATCGCATCCGCAGCGACTGGAATTCGTTCTGTTGACGGCCATGGTTCGATCGTTGAGGTGATAAGAGAAGCGCCTGACGGGAGACGCTGGCATTAATTGGCGACGATTGCGAGGAATGCGATACGCGCTACGGGGAATTCGATAAGCGCTACGAGGAAATGCGATAAGCGTCGCGAGGAATGCGATAGGCGTGAGCGTCGCGAACCAAGGCAAACGAGTGGATGCGATGAATCGCAGGCATCAAACAGTCGAGAATCGCGGGGCAACCATCGCATATGACACCGAGGCATCCCACGGCGAAAGCTGGAAACGAAAAGAGAATACGGAGGATCCAAGAGCACGCGCCGTGCGCAAGGCACACGTCACTAGAAACTCGAAAGCAATCCTCTAGCCCATGTCCACTGTGATTCCCACAATCTTAGCGCCGAAACGATATCGAATCGAGGAGAACGTTCCTTCTCGTCTCCTTTGACCGCCTTAGCTACCCAGCTTCTTCGAGCCTGCGTCGATTCACACGCCATGGCAAGTTAAATGTCAGTCCTCGCATGCAAATGCTCATCATTGAACCCACTTTCGTGGAAGACAAGGCCATCCATCGTTTTCTATACCAAGCTTGTGCTACGATAGTGATGGTAGCGGTGTTACCCCTGGGCAAGCCATACGGCGGAGATATCGATGACTGGAATTCGGGGTGGAGGGAAGAGGAGCAGCAGCAGCAGCAGCAGTCACCTTGCTGGGCTTGGCTGGGCTGAAGCAAGCTGGAATTCCCAAGTGGCAGGAAAAGGGGGGCAAAGACCTTGAATTTGTCGAATTGGACTCGAAATTGTTTCCGCACCATTTCCTCAAATACTCGCTGTCAAACTTTTCGATAATCGTTGTAATGCTCGTTGCACAAGCATTCGTTTAGAGAGACTCCCTCACCTCACTCACCTAAACAGCAAGATTCTCAGAATTTAAAGCAGAAACGTAATTTATGTATGGGGGAACACCTACTGGCTCTACACACGGTTCAGCAGCATGAATGCAAGGTGGTCCCACACACAACTGGTGAACGTCTTATTACGCTGCGATACTACTGGTGTCACCGTGTCATAGTGGACCATCAACCTCACAATGCAAGACCATCAGTACCCATGGAATGGCGATTCAGGTACCTCAGAAGGGCATCATCCACCCTAAACACAGGCAAGCAGCCAGAAAACACAAATCGGTACAAAAGATTAGGTATGGATGAGAGCATTTTTTCCAGAACATCCATAGCAGTAAGCGAGTCCAACACCGCCAAAGCAGCAAGGCACAACACACTGGCTACTGGCAGCAACGAATTTGCGCGCATTCCAGCAGAGATTACTCACCATGGTAGAGCATAGAACTCGGCATCTTGGTCAGCAGTCTCAGGACCAAAAGCCTGTGCACCCCCAGCACCTTCCACTCCTCCCTGCTGCATCTGATCCAAGTCTCTCTGCTGCGAAACCATCAAGTCCCTGACAAACTCCCCAGGAGAGTGCGAAAACGCTAGGAAGAAAGCGCGCCGCCGCCGGTGCTTAGCTAAAAGTTCCGCGTCTCTAGCCATGGCTGCGTCAATTGCGTCTATCTCCGGCTGCTGACCCATCGCTGCAATCACACGGGCCGTTTCGGCTGCTAGCGCAGGAGCTTCTGTTACAGTCACATCCACGCAGGTGTCAGCCGAAACAGGGGGCAGGGTCTCATATGAAGGGAGGGTGGTGGGTGGGCCCAGTGTATGAAAGGGAGGATCTAAAGAAGGGAGTGTGGCGGAGTGTGTGGGGCAGGTGGCGAGGGAGATGCGGTGGGTGATGGTGAGAGGCGGTGGAGGAGAGAGGAATGGGGAGATGTGGATGGGGAGGGAGGAGATTTTGAGCTTGTCCTGCTTGAAGAGCGCTTGGAGGGTGGCATCGCAGGAGAAGGAGGAGGGATCTGTGGGGTCCTGTTGGGGAAACATGGGAGAAACAGCAGCAAAATGGAGGGATGTGGATGGTACCGGAGAAACAGCAGCAAAAAGAGGAATGTAGATGGTAGCAACAACAGTAAAATGGGGAGAACCTGATGTTATCTCAGCAGAAGAGGGAACGAGGAAGGATATATGAAGCTTGCTCGCATGACAAGAGACGGCACAGAGCTGTCACACAAAATCACTAACCTGTAGTTTGTTGGCCTTGATATAATTCCACAGGGCTTCCAATACCTGCAGCCTGGTCGCCACATTCATCCCCACCACCGCTCCCAACCGCTCTCCCACGCTGTACACTTCCTCCCCCTGCTTCAGCTCCACACGAAGCTCCACCAACGATTCACTGGTTCCCTCTCGCTGCATCTCCACCGTTGATGCATCTGGTCGGAGGATCCCGTCCCTGTCTGCGTCCCACAGGGTCACCGCGTTGTTGGGTGGAGGGAACAGCTTCGGGTCGAGCCGAGCCTCGATCCGCTGGACGTGCCGAGCCAACGGGCCAGCCGCGGCATCCCTAACCTTGAAAACTCCCGAGCCTAGCAAAGCTTGGCTCAAGCCTGATTCTCCAACGGCTGGATCCGATCCGCGAGACTCTGCATCTGCTAATATCGCGGACATTGCTAAGGAGCGCTCTTTATCGGTGCTTCCGACGCGCTTAGTGCTCAGGGGTTTTTTTTCTCCTGGCAGATCACCTGCCTGAGTACCGAATTGCTCCTCATCTTCTCCCACCATTCGCGCCACGACTCGCAAAGTCCAGCGAGGCACATCAACGGCTGCGATTGACCCGTCTACATCCGATTTCATTCCGCTCGGCACTGCGCGATCCTGGAACGAGTGGGTATTAAAGACGTAAAGCCGGAGAGCTCGCGTGACACGTGGCATGGCGTGGATCGACTCGGAGAGCTCCACTTTAACGCGCGATAGGACGATATCCATCTGTCGCTCCTCGGCCTGGAGCCGCGTAAGCATAGCCGACTCGGGAGCTAAGATCGCCGAAAAGCCGTCGCCGGTAGTTAAAGATGCGTTCGGTCCTTTCACTCTCTCCTTATACTTTTTGCGCTTAGCGGGAGGTATAGCTTCCGTGGTCAGGATTCTGACGTCAGTGGCTGCTTTACTGCCCGAACCGTCTTTACCGTCCTTGGCTAATTTGCTCGCGTCTCTCCTACCTCCTAGACACATGGACGTGCGTCCAGACGCCATACTCGTAAAGCGCCGGCTCGACTTATTTATGTTTAAAAATTTCTATTTAGGAAACGACGGGGTTCCTGCGCGGTTGATGATAGGACTTCCTAGCGCACACGACGGCCCCACTACACTAGCATCAGCTGCTGTTTAGTTGTCCAAACTATGGGGGCAGAGTGCCCTGCCTGTCAGCTACAACACATCATCCTCATCGAGGTAGGTTCGGTACTACAAACAATACTTAGCTAAGTCGTGCATACAGTCGCGGTCTACAAGACTCCGGCTAAGTGTCTCGATGGTTTTTACATCGTCTCATTTTTCTATGGTGGAATTGGCTCCAAACAAGAAAAGATTTTGGAATGAGACTTGACCCGTTAAATTGGATTTGTTCAGAATAGCACGAATTCCGGCCTGATTTGACGACTGTCCAACTGGAATGTCAGAATGACAACACAACTTCCGTACCGATGAAACCGATAAACACGCCCTCAGGAAGAGTTATTTCCTTGGGTTCAACAGCAACGGTTCGCGTCCCACATCGCACCAGCCCTATCGGCCAGAAGCAGGGTTGCCAGTAGTGTGCGCTGTACGGTTCGGTTAGTTTTCTGTACGTTTTAAACAGTTATAGTGGCACATTACAACGGTTTGTATAGTTGTTAGTAGCGTCACCAGCAAGCCAGTCAGCCAATGCTTGCCTAGGTTTGTGCGCAGGAGTCTAGTCCGTTGATACCTTGAGGGCGTGTCCAGCGCGTACATTTACAGTTCATAAACCCGTTCGGTTACCACATTTTCTTTTGTAACACTGCATTTTACAAAAAGGTTGGACAAGATCAGCTTCCGTACACAAAACGGCACGCCCGCTGCACGTACGACGAATCGTCTAACACACGTTACTGGAATGAGTGTACGCGCGAACAATGATACAGCATTGCGTCCTGCCCGCTACAGTAATTTTCGTTCAAGCGAGGAATTTTCGCTTGTGCGTGAATTTCTGTGCGATGATAGACGAGGCAAACAGTTACCTCGTTTTCCACGAACTGTAGAAATTTGTGTGCAGAGGGTTGTGTCCGCGCGCTGGAAGGCCCACTCCTTCGGACTCGACTTGCCTTATATTCGTTTTTTTGGTACAGTGAGATATTTTGAGCCGGGAAACGTGTGAAGGTACTAATATTCCCAAAATGTACGCGCTGGACACGCCCTGAAATGCTCGCTGTCACGCGTCGAGCCGTAGCGGCACAATCGAAGACACGGAGGTGGCATCAGTATTTGAAAGCAATCTAGGGTGACGAACAGGAACGGTGACGTGCTCATTACTTCCTCGTGGTCGCAGTTGTGGCGGTCATTGTCGCAGGACGCGCATTTTCGCATTCGGACCATCTCTTCTACGTGCCTAACGCATCTCATCCCCTTTTATTCGACGCGCGTTTTTTGTTCTCCCACCCGCGGCGCCGCTCTTTCTGTCTACGCCTACCTCGTTTCCAACGTTCCTTAGACGTTTCGCGTCCAATCCACGCATCAGAATGTGTCATGTGTCAGATTCACTGCGGCAGGTGTCATCAGATTTCCTCTTGTCGACATCTCTCCATTCCACCTGCTATCACCAGCGAGAGCGTTTTTTGGAGTTCTCAAAGATCCCATGTTTCCCCGTCCTCCGCCATCTCTCAGCTCTCGATCAGAAATCAACGATCAGAGATCAACGATCAGTTGCGCGCAACGAGCCTGCGCGTTACTATCCTCGTCTCCACGCGTCGCTCTGACTCACCGTCCGCATTGCATCTCCGCTGGTGCAACATCGTCTCGTTTCCATTCCGCTGTTTCACGGCAATCGGCGATCAGCGATCAGGAATCAGAAACGCAACCAGCCTGCGTATGACTACTTACCATAGTCACCTCGCCACTACTAGTGCTCAAGCGTCACAGCTTACGGGTCATTCCCCGGAGCAGAAAAGGTGCAGACCGCTGTCGTGAGTCAAGCTTTGAGGCGCCTCACTGGCGTGAGTCACGGGCCTGACTTCCATTTTCCACCACGAGTGAAGCTGGCATACCAGCATCAGCGCCATTAGCTGGCGACGGTGACGCAATGACGGGTAGACCGATCACTCCGTGTGAGGAATCGTTGTGCGAATTCACGCAGTCATGCCAAGAAAGATCAGCACACGGGGTTGATCAGAGAGAAGTATTTTCAAATGAGAAAGGGCGGGGAGAAAGATCGGTTGTGAGGCATCAAGCATGGCCACGTGGGTCCAAGCTGCAGAAGCTGCTAATCACCGTAGTTGCTGTGTTGCTTCTGCTTCTGCTTCTGCTGCTGCTGGCGATGGTGACAACTGCTGTCAACGTCGCCCCTAATATCCTAAAGCCTTTCGATGGCTTTGCCAGGCCTACCGAGGCGAGCAGTGAGGCAGTAGCACAGGCGCATGGGTCGGCTCAAGTTGCTGGGGTAGCCGCATATGTATTCCACGTTGAGGCAGCAACACGGGGACTGGAAGAGGTGAGATCCTGGAGACGTGGGCTTCAGGAGCAGTTGGGCGGCGGACTGGCTGTGGCAGACGAGACGAACGCCGGTGTTGTGAGCAACCGCAGCAACATGGGCTCTGCTGCTGCTGCTGCTGCTGCTGGTGGTATATCTGATCCTCCTGTGGGTGCTTCTACTGCCAGTGCTAGTGCTGGTAACGATACGAGTGGTGGTGGTGATAGCAGCACCACTGCTGAAAACAGTGTCAGTCCTCCCGGTAACCCTACTGGAGCTGGTAACGCCACAGCTCCCATCAGCAGCGGCATAACGCCTGGGGGGAACAGCAGTGCTGCTGGTAACTTCACTGGAACCGGTAACCTCACTGGAACTCAGAACTTCAGTGGGCCTGCTGGCAATGGCACGGAGTGGGGTGCGGTGCGGTACTTCACGGTGGGGCAGGAGGCGTTCGTGTGGGGGTATCCTGTGGTTACCTTCTTCCGCCAGCAGGCCACCCGTGCTGCCCTCAACGCCTTCTCCTACGCCAACACCACCGCTGTTGTCGGCACCACCAGTGAGTCATGCTTGCTCGTGATGTGTTATTCTGATGTATGTCTCTGATGCACATTGGTACCACCGGACCGGCGCATGTGTCTCCTGGTGATTATTGCATCCTTCTCGTGATCCAATATTCTATGCGACTGTCTGCCTCCTACGCCAACACCACTGCTGCTGTCAGCACCACACCACAGTGACCCGTGCATGCTATGCTATGCTATGCTAGCACGTCCTTCGCTTTGCGTTTTTTTTTTTTTTTTAAGCTGGCGCATGCACCCCACCCCCAGCAACCGAGAGCGTCACACAAGCGGCTTGTAGCCTTGTGCTGTGTAGTCCTCCTTGTGAACGCAAAGCCGTGGACGCCTTTTGAGCCGCCTCAAAACCGAGAGCGTCATGCAAACGGCTTGTGCTGTGTAGTCCTCCTTGTGAACGCTGTGGACGGCAAAGCCGTGGACGCTGCGAATGGCAACGCCTTCCTCTTCTTCTTCCTCCAAAGTTCCTACTTGCGTTACACTTGTCCCGTCCCCGTATCTCTCACTCTCACCCCCCAGGCTGTGGCTTTGCCCAGTATGCACAGTGCAGCCAGCGACCCACCATAAGGTGGTGCAGCCTTCCTCGTTTTGCGGCGCCTCAAAACTAGCTGTGGCTTTGCCCAATATGCACATTGCAGCCAGGGACCCACCATGAGACGGCACATTTCTCCCCGTCCGCTCCCTCTTACTCCAGAAGACCACGACTGGGACCCACCTTTGCGTTGCATGCCTTCACATTCTCATCCCCTCTCCCTCTAATTCCATCCAGATGAGGCTCTCCTCTCCCCAATGTGGACACGGTGTCACGGTGTATGGAGGATCCTTCCCCCTGCCCCCTTCCCCCTTCCTCCAAATGTTCAGGAATCCTCACTGCACGCCCTTGCAATCTCTTACCCACCCCACCCAGGCGTGGCTCTCCCCAATGTGGACACGGTGTCACGGTGTATGGAGGAGGTTAAAGCTCACCCCTCCTCCCCTTCTCTTTGCTCCCCATCCCCCCACTCTCACCACCCAGGCGTGGCGCTCCCCAATGTGGACACGGTGTATGGAGGGGCCTTCCTCTACCTGCGAGACCAGCCCATGGTGCTCAAGACCCCCTACATGGGCCAAGGCCGCTACTACAGGTGAGGGGCCGCTACTACAGGTGAGGGGCCGCTACTACAGGTGAGGGGCCGTTACTACAGGTGAGGGGCTCTGCTACAGGTGAGGGGCCGTTACTACAGGTGAGGGGCGCTGCTACAGGTGAGGGGCCGTTACTACAGGTGAGGGGCGCTGCTACAGGTGAGGGGCGCTGCTACAGGTGAGGGGCCGTTACTACAGGTGAGGGGCGCTGCTACAGGTGAGGGGCGCTGCTACAGGTGAGGGGCCGTTACTACAGGTGAGGGGCGCTGCTACAGGTGAGGGGCCGTTACTACAGGTGAGGGGCGCTGCTACAGGTGAGGGGCTGTTACTACAGGTGAGGGGCGCTGCTACAGGTGAGGGGCCGTTACTACAGGTGAGGGGCGCTGCTACAGGTGAGGGGCCGTTACTACAGGTGAGGGGCGCTGCTACAGGTGAGGGGCGCTGCTACAGGTGAGGGGCCGTTACTACAGGTGAGGGGCGCTGCTACAGGTGAGGGGCCGTTACTACAGGTGAGGGGCGCTGCTACAGGTGAGGGGCTGTTACTACAGGTGAGGGGCGCTGCTACAGGTGAGGGGCCGTTACTACAGGTGAGGGGCGCTGCTACAGGTGAGGAGCCGTTACTACAGGTGAGGGGGCGCTGCTACAGGTGAGGAGCCGTTACTACAGGTGAGGGGCGCTGCTACAGGTGAGGGGCCGTTACTACAGGTGAGGGGCGCTGCTACAGGTGAGGAGCCGTTACTACAGGTGAGGGGCGCTGCTACAGGTGAGGAGCCGTTACTACAGGTGAGGAGCGCTGCTACAGGTGAGGAGCCGCTGCTACAGGTGAGGAGCTGCTGCTACAGGTGAGGAGCCGTTACTACAGGTGAGGAGCGCTACTACAGGTGAGGAGCCGTTACTACAGGTGAGGAGCGCTACTACAGGTGAGGAGCCGTTACTACAGGTGAGGGGCGCTGCTACAGGTGAGGAGCCGTTACTACAGGTGAGGAGCGCTGCTACAGGTGAGGAGCTGCTGCTACAGGTGAGGGGCCGTTACTACAGGTGAGGAGCGCTACTACAGGTGAGGAGCCGTTACTACAGGTGAGGAGCGCTACTACAGGTGAGGAGCCGTTACTACAGGTGAGGGGCGCTGCTACAGGTGAGGAGCCGTTACTACAGGTGAGGAGCGCTGCTACAGGTGAGGAGCCGCTGCTACAGGTGAGGAGCTGCTGCTACAGGTGAGGAGCCGTTACTACAGGTGAGGAGCGCTGCTACAGGTGAGGAGCCGCTGCTACAGGTGAGGAGCCGCTGCTACAGGTGAGGAGCCGTTACTACAGGTGAGGAGCCGCTGCTACAGGTGAGGAGCGTGCAAATAGCGTGGCGATTGAAACTCGTTTTCGTATTCGAGTATTCGCTCGAATTTTGGATTGCTTGCTAGTCCGAAGTAATATGTTTATCCGCTTATTAAACCACTCTCCTCCAATCACACCCTCTCCTCCAATCACACCCTCTCCTCCTCCCTTGTATCGGGTTCTTCTCTTCCAGTGTGAATGGCAGCCGAGCCAACGGGCCAGGACCCAACGCATTTCTATCTACTTTTGCGAATTGCACCTTCCGAGATCATTCCCCTCCAAACCAATCCCTCTTGGCCCCCATCTGTTTGACAGCATCGGGTTCTTCCAGCTCTACTACTCGGATTTCAGTGTGAACGGCAGCCAAGCCACTCTCTCTCATCCAACCCCTTCCTTCCTTCCTCCCTCCCTTGCGTTGGTTGGCAGCATCGGATTCTTTCAGCTCTACTACTCGGATTTCAGTGTGAACGGCAGCCGGGCCAACGGGCCAGGGCCAAACACGTTCACCGTTGTCGGGCCCGACTGGGCAGGGGAGTTGCCTGCTGACCTCTCACCCACCGTCATACGGGTGAGACTTCTATTGCTACTTCGGGCATTGTCTCGTTAAGGTTGAAGAATGCATCAAAGGATTTCACCGGTCCTTTCTCCCCTTGCCCTTTCGTCGCTCACTCTTTGCCTTTCGCCCATCTCCCCTTTCCCTTCCCCATCTCCCTCACTCTTCCCTCTGCCATCCCTCGCTCGCGCCAGTCACCCACCAATGACGCGCTCCTGTTGATGCGAGTGGTCGTATCAGAAAACGTCACCAACGACATTGCTACAGTGCTCGACCTCTACAGTCAAGTCTCGCTACAGTCACTCTCAGAGGCACTAGGCGGGCCTGCAGTTCCGCCCCTCCCCAATCCGCCCCTCCCCAGCTCCAACCTCTCCGAGGCCCTCCAAGTGAGCAACGCCCCTCCAGGTGAGCAGCACCCGCCCTTGTGCTCCTTAGTTTTGAATCCCGCTCCCTGTGAGCGGTGGCCTGCAGGTGAACAGTGGTTCTGCAGATTCTGCAGATAAGCAGTGGCCTGATTGCTCCTTCCCATCTTCCTCCTTCCCACACCCCCCCTCTCCACCTCCCCCCCCTTTCCCTCCCTCCCCATCGTTCTCCCTGTTATCCTCATCCCTTCCATCACCATCTCTCTCATCGTTCTCTCTTCCTGCTGCTCGCCCCTGCAGTGCGTGACTCTCATTGGCGAGGGCCTTCAGCGGGTCCCGCCTGCAAATAATGTTTCAGTTTACTCAAAATTCCCTCAGCATATCTCCCTCCCTACCATCGCCCTCCTTCCCTGCTGCTCGCCCCTGCAGCGCATGACTCTCATTGGCGAGGGCCTTCAGCGGGACCCACCTGCCAATAACAGCGCCAACAACCGCGTCGTTCGAATGGTAGGGAATAACCTCAAGGTCTAGTCTCGTAACATACCTCCAACAGACTAGCCAACCCATGGTTAAGTAACAAACAGCGTGCTCATAGAACCCATGATAATAAGTGCTAAACATAGGGTGAATATTAAACTCACTGTTGAGTGACTAACCTATCATAACTGACACACCCTCTCCCGTTGTCCCAACCCTCCCCTCGTCCCCTCGTCGCTCCCTTTCTCGCTCCGTCCCTCCTCCCTCCCTCCATTGCCTCTCAGTCTTGCATCCATCGAAGTCACCCAGCACTACATACAGCCTCGTTCGCTGCAGTTTGAGGCGCCTCAAAAAGCATGCATCCATCGAAGTCACCCAGCACTGCATACAGCCTCGTTCGCTGCAGTTTGAGGCGCCTCAAAAAGCATGCATCCATCGAAGTCACCCAGCACTACATACAGCCTCGTTCGCTGCAGTTTGAGGCGCCTCAAAAAGCATGCATCCATCGAAGTCACCCAGCACTGCATACAGCCTCGTTCGCTGCAGTTTGAGGCGCCTCAAAAAGCATGCATCCATCGAAGTCACCCAGCACTGCATACAGCCTCGTTCGCTGCAGTTTGAGGCGCCTCAAAAAGCATGCATCCATCGAAGTCACCCAGCACTGCATACAGCCTCGTTCGCTGCAGTTTGAGGCGCCTCAAAAAGCATGCATCCATCGCAGTCACCCAGCACTGCATACAGCCTCGTTCGCTGCTGTGCCGCACACTTGCTTTCCACTTCTGCCCTCTCCCCTCCCACTCTGCTGTCTGTGCCCACACCTTCCCCCTCTCAGCTCGCGTTTATTGACATTACCCTGCAGTACGGCTTCAACCCTACAGCGTATATGTTTTTCTAGAACCTGTTTTTATACTTTATCAACGTTACCCTGCAGTACGGCTTCGACCCTACAGTACCACACACTTTCCTTCCCACCAACACTGCTCTTCCCAACCCATCCTCCCCCTCCCTCCCTCCCTCCCTCCCTCCCTCCCTCCCTCCCTCCCTCCCTCCCTCCCTCCCTCCCTCCCTCCCTCCCTCCCTCCCTCCCTCCCTCCCTCCCTCCCTCCCTCCCTCCCTCCCTCCCTCCCTCCCCCATCCCTCCCTCCCTCCCGCCCCCCCCTCCCTCCCTCCCTCCTTCCTTTCCCTTACCCCTTCTCCTCTCAGCTCGCGACCATCAACGTCACCCAGCAGTACGGTTTCGACCCCTACAGCGTGACACAGCAGCAGGCAGCAGCACTAGAGGCAGCAAGATTGGTGACAGACCAGGAATTGAGCATTGCCAACAGGATCATTCAGATAAACGAATCACTCATTCAGTCGTGAGTGTGCCACTTAGCTCGTCACAAAAGCAGCATTGTGGGCGGCAAGAGTGGTTATAGACCAGGCACTGAGTGCCGCCAACAGGATCATTCAGATCAACGAATCACTCATTTAGTCGCGAGTGCGCCACTTAGCTGAACTCTCTCGTTTAACCATTCATTCACGTCAACAGACGGACCATAAATATTGCTGTTTTTTACCACCTTATTGCCTTTATTACCAAGCATATGCATTTCATAGTCAGTGGACCTTTTCTTCTCCTCCTCTGTGTGTTCTGCTCCAGATCTGTGTGCTGCCTCAACAGTCCCTGGCACTGTTGCTTCAACTCTTTCCCTGCCTGCCTGTCTGTCCCCACACCACACCAGGGACGATTTTTGGGCGTCGTCACTCAACTGGCTGGGTCACGACTTTGACCGCGAGTTCTGCTTCTCTTTTGCAGGCTCTGCTCCTCGCCTCAGGACCTATCCCATCCCATCCCCAATTTTGTGCAATATCATTGTTCCGTCCTTCCTTCCCTCCGCTCCATGCTTGCAATTGCAATTGCACGCACCAGGGACGATTTCTGGGCGTCGTCACTCAACTGGCTGGGCCACGACTTTGACCGCGAGTTCTTCTATCGCGCCACCTTCTCATCCTCGGGAGGCATCGGCGCTCTCCCCGCCACCGAAGTCATCTACTTCCTCACCTTCCTCGCCCAGGTGAGGAAGCTTCCTTCTCCGTCTTTCCACTGCCAAGCCCTGTTACGGCATGGCCAGGTGAGGAAGCTTCCTGCGGCGTCACACTACCTTTGCTGCGTAGACTTCTTCCTACGACTCTCTGCTCTTCCTTGTGAGAGGGAAAACACCTCGTAGCACCACCTTAGTACACCTCAAGGAACCGCAGAGTACCGCAGAGTACCACAAAGCGCCTCAAAGCATCTCAAAGCAGCTCAGAGCACTCCTGTTCTGATCTCACCTTTCTTCATTCAACACTCCTTTTGCTGATTTTCCTCTTCTTCTGTTCTGTGTCTCCCCTCCCGTCCAACACCCAAATCCATCCAGGCCGTTCCAACGCTGCAAGGCCTGTTTCCCGGCAACCCTGCAGCACCTACTCCCTTGTCAGGATCACCCCTGACAATCCCTCTCAACACCACCGCACCAACCAACACCACCACACCAACTAACACCACCACACCAGCCAACGTCACCACACCAACCAACATCACATCTTCAACTAGTACCAACCAGACATCTCCCGAACCTCCCAGCCTCCCCTCCTCGCTGCCTCCCTTCCGCCGCTCCCCCCCGTTCGTCCCGCTTGAAGGCCCACTGTGCTTCCGCCTGCGCCTCACCCCTCCCCCGGTCGACTCCTTCTGGTCGGTCACAGTCTACAACAGCACCTCTCTAAACCTTCTAGAAGGAGTGACCAAGTATGGCGTGGGCGACAGGACTCCAGGCCTGCTGGTGAGTCTCACTCGTCCTCTCACATTCCTCACCCCTCCCCCGGTCGACTCCTTCTGGTCTTTCACAGTCTACAACAGCACCTCGCTGAATCCTCTAGAAGGAGTCAGCAGGTATGGCTTGGGGGATAGGACTCCTGGTCTTCTGGTGAGTGTCTCGCCCTTCTTTTCACGGCCTCACCCCTCCCCCGGCCGACTCCTTCTGGTCTGTCACAGTCTACAACAGCACCTCACTGAATCTCCTGGAGGGAGGTAGCTAGTATGGCGTGGGTGACCGTACACCAGGACAGATTGTGAGTCTCTCCTGCTTCCCTATCCCTCCTCTCGATTCCCTCTGGTCTCTCATTAGGCACACTGCTTCTGATTGTGAGTTCCTTTCTTCCTTCCACGTCCCTTCTTCTCCTCCTCTTGACTCCTTCTGGTCGGTCACAGTCTACAACAGCACCTCTCTGAGCCTCCTGGAAGGAGTGACTAAATACGGCATGGGAGATAGGACTCCTGGACTGCTGGTGAGTATCTTGCTTCTCCCCATCCCCCCTACTCCTCCTCTTGACTCCTTCTGGTCGGTCACAGTCTACAACAGCACCTCTCTGAGCCTCCTGGAAGGAGTGACTAAATACGGCATGGGAGATAGGACTCCTGGACTGCTGGTGAGTATCTTGCTTCTCCCCATCCCCCCTACTCCTCCTCTTGACTCCTTCTGGTCGGTCACAGTCTACAACAGCACCTCTCTGAGCCTCCTGGAAGGAGTGACTAAATACGGCATGGGAGATAGGACTCCTGGACTGCTGGTGAGTATCTTGCTTCTCCCCATCCCCCCTACTCCTCCTCTTGACTCCTTCTGGTCGGTCACAGTCTACAACAGCACCTCTCTGAGCCTCCTGGAAGGAGTGACTAAATACGGCATGGGAGATAGGACTCCTGGACTGCTGGTGAGTATCTTGCTTCTCCCCATCCCCCCTACTCCTCCTCTTGACTCCTTCTGGTCGGTCACAGTCTACAACAGCACCTCTCTGAGCCTCCTGGAAGGAGTGACTAAATACGGCATGGGAGATAGGGCTCCTGGACTGCTGGTGAGTATCTTGCTTCTCCCCATCCCCCCTACTCCTCCTCTTGACTCCTTCTGGTCGGTCACAGTCTACAACAGCACCTCTCTGAGCCTCCTGGAAGGAGTGACTAAATACGGCATGGGAGATAGGACTCCTGGACTGCTGGTGAGTATCTTGCTTCTCCCCATCCCCCCTACTCCTCCTCTTGACTCCTTCTGGTCGGTCACAGTCTACAACAGCACCTCTCTGAGCCTCCTGGAAGGAGTGACTAAATACGGCATGGGAGATAGGACTCCTGGACTGCTGGTGAGTATCTTGCTTCTCCCCATCCCCCCTACTCCTCCTCTTGACTCCTTCTGGTCGGTCACAGTCTACAACAGCACCTCTCTGAGCCTCCTGGAAGGAGTGACTAAATACGGCATGGGAGATAGGACTCCTGGACTGCTGGTGAGTATCTTGCTTCTCCCCATCCCCCCTACTCCTCCTCTTGACTCCTTCTGGTCGGTCACAGTCTACAACAGCACCTCTCTGAGCCTCCTGGAAGGAGTGACTAAATACGGCATGGGAGATAGGACTCCTGGACTGCTGGTGAGTATCTTGCTTCTCCCCATCCCCCCTACTCCTCCTCTTGACTCCTTCTGGTCGGTCACAGTCTACAACAGCACCTCTCTGAGCCTCCTGGAAGGAGTGACTAAATACGGCATGGGAGATAGGACTCCTGGACTGCTGGTGAGTATCTTGCTTCTCCCCATCCCCCCTACTCCTCCTCTTGACTCCTTCTGGTCGGTCACAGTCTACAACAGCACCTCTCTGAGCCTCCTGGAAGGAGTGACTAAATACGGCATGGGAGATAGGACTCCTGGACTGCTGGTGAGTATCTTGCTTCTCCCCATCCCCCCTACTCCTCCTCTTGACTCCTTCTGGTCGGTCACAGTCTACAACAGCACCTCTCTGAGCCTCCTGGAAGGAGTGACTAAATACGGCATGGGAGATAGGACTCCTGGACTGCTGGTGAGTATCTTGCTTCTCCCCATCCCCCCTACTCCTCCTCTTGACTCCTTCTGGTCGGTCACAGTCTACAACAGCTCCTCTCTGAGCCTCCTGGAAGGAGTGACTAAATACGGCATGGGAGTTAGGACTCCTGGACTGCTGGTGAGTATCTTGCTTCTCCCCATCCCCCCTACTCCTCCTCTTGACTCCTTCTGGTCGGTCACAGTCTACAACAGCACCTCTCTGAGCCTCCTGGAAGGAGTGACTAAATACGGCATGGGAGATAGGACTCCTGGACTGCTGGTGAGTATCTTGCTTCTCCCCATCCCCCCTACTCCTCCTCTTGACTCCTTCTGGTCGGTCACAGTCTACAACAGCACCTCTCTGAGCCTCCTGGAAGGAGTGAATAAATACAGCATGGGAGATAGGACTCCTGGACTGCTGGTGAGTATCTTGCTTCTCCCCATCCCCCCTACTCCTCCTCTTGACTCCTTCTGGTCGGTCACAGTCTACAACAGCACCTCTCTGAGCCTCCTGGAAGGAGTGACTAAATACGGCATGGGAGATAGGACTCCTGGACTGCTGGTGAGTATCTTGCTTCTCCCCATCCCCCCTACTCCTCCTCTTGACTCCTTCTGGTCGGTCACAGTCTACAACAGCACCTCTCTGAGCCTCCTGGAAGGAGTGACTAAATACGGCATGGGAGATAGGACTCCTGGACTGCTGGTGAGTATCTTGCTTCTCCCCATCCCCCCTACTCCTCCTCTTGACTCCTTCTGGTCGGTCACAGTCTACAACAGCACCTCTCTGAGCCTCCTGGAAGGAGTGACTAAATACGGCATGGGAGATAGGACTCCTGGACTGCTGGTGAGTATCTTGCTTCTCCCCATCCCCCCTACTCCTCCTCTTGACTCCTTCTGGTCGGTCACAGTCTACAACAGCACCTCTCTGAGCCTCCTGGAAGGAGTGACTAAATACGGCATGGGAGATAGGACTCCTGGACTGCTGGTGAGTATCTTGCTTCTCCCCATCCCCCCTACTCCTCCTCTTGACTCCTTCTGGTCGGTCACAGTCTACAACAGCACCTCTCTGAGCCTCCTGGAAGGAGTGACTAAATACGGCATGGGAGATAGGACTCCTGGACTGCTGGTGAGTATCTTGCTTCTCCCCATCCCCCCTACTCCTCCTCTTGACTCCTTCTGGTCGGTCACAGTCTACAACAGCACCTCTCTGAGCCTCCTGGAAGGAGTGACTAAATACGGCATGGGAGATAGGACTCCTGGACTGCTGGTGAGTATCTTGCTTCTCCCCATCCCCCCTACTCCTCCTCTTGACTCCTTCTGGTCGGTCACAGTCTACAACAGCTCCTCTCTGAGCCTCCTGGAAGGAGTGACTAAATACGGCATGGGAGTTAGGACTCCTGGACTGCTGGTGAGTATCTTGCTTCTCCCCATCCCCCCTACTCCTCCTCTTGACTCCTTCTGGTCGGTCACAGTCTACAACAGCACCTCTCTGAGCCTCCTGGAAGGAGTGACTAAATACGGCATGGGAGATAGGACTCCTGGACTGCTGGTGAGTATCTTGCTTCTCCCCATCCCCCCTACTCCTCCTCTTGACTCCTTCTGGTCGGTCACAGTCTACAACAGCACCTCTCTGAGCCTCCTGGAAGGAGTGAATAAATACAGCATGGGAGATAGGACTCCTGGACTGCTGGTGAGTATCTTGCTTCTCCCCATCCCCCCTACTCCTCCTCTTGACTCCTTCTGGTCGGTCACAGTCTACAACAGCACCTCTCTGAGCCTCCTGGAAGGAGTGACTAAATACGGCATGGGAGATAGGACTCCTGGACTGCTGGTGAGTATCTTGCTTCTCCCCATCCCCCCTACTCCTCCTCTTGACTCCTTCTGGTCGGTCACAGTCTACAACAGCACCTCTCTGAGCCTCCTGGAAGGAGTGACTAAATACGGCATGGGAGATAGGACTCCTGGACTGCTGGTGAGTATCTTGCTTCTCCCCATCCCCCCTACTCCTCCTCTTGACTCCTTCTGGTCGGTCACAGTCTACAACAGCACCTCTCTGAGCCTCCTGGAAGGAGTGACTAAATACGGCATGGGAGATAGGACTCCTGGACTGCTGGTGAGTATCTTGCTTCTCCCCATCCCCCCTACTCCTCCTCTTGACTCCTTCTGGTCGGTCACAGTCTACAACAGCACCTCTCTGAGCCTCCTGGAAGGAGTGACTAAATACGGCATGGGAGATAGGACTCCTGGACTGCTGGTGAGTATCTTGCTTCTCCCCATCCCCCCTACTCCTCCTCTTGACTCCTTCTGGTCGGTCACAGTCTACAACAGCACCTCTCTGAGCCTCCTGGAAGGAGTGACTAAATACGGCATGGGAGATAGGACTCCTGGACTGCTGGTGAGTATCTTGCTTCTCCCCATCCCCCCTACTCCTCCTCTTGACTCCTTCTGGTCGGTCACAGTCTACAACAGCACCTCTCTGAGCCTCCTGGAAGGAGTGACTAAATACGGCATGGGAGATAGGACTCCTGGACTGCTGGTGAGTATCTTGCTTCTCCCCATCCCCCCTACTCCTCCTCTTGACTCCTTCTGGTCGGTCACAGTCTACAACAGCACCTCTCTGAGCCTCCTGGAAGGAGTGACTAAATACGGCATGGGAGATAGGACTCCTGGACTGCTGGTGAGTATCTTGCTTCTCCCCATCCCCCCTACTCCTCCTCTTGACTCCTTCTGGTCGGTCACAGTCTACAACAGCACCTCTCTGAGCCTCCTGGAAGGAGTGACTAAATACGGCATGGGAGATAGGACTCCTGGACTGCTGGTGAGTATCTTGCTTCTCCCCATCCCCCCTACTCCTCCTCTTGACTCCTTCTGGTCGGTCACAGTCTACAACAGCACCTCTCTGAGCCTCCTGGAAGGAGTGACTAAATACGGCATGGGAGATA